GGAGCTCGGATGACAGTACGGGTGAAGAGCGAGAAGTTCTGGATGGCCCGCAGACTGGGAGAATCATGGTCACCAAAACAACCGTAGTCAGTCGCTAGGTTGAGACGTAAACATGCTCGCATTGTCGATAGGGACGAGCGTCTATTGTCCAGTGGAGGCGCATCGAGCAACTAGAGACCTGAAAGAGGAAAGTGAAGTCGCATAACGAATTGCATCTGTTCAGAATTTCGTGTACCTCCTTAGTCTCTTGCTGTCGACTTGACAACCACTTCCGACTTCACCCAGACGTGTATATTTTGCTTCCCCGCCTTTCCCTCTTCACTCGAATACCTTTCGATGTCCACGTTCCGCCCCTGGCCGTAACGATCATCCGGCCCCAGTATTGAATCCACGCTCTCGTTGTCGCCGAAGCCCTTTCCACCAGACCTCGTCCCGCTTCCGAATCGTCCCTCGCCGCTTCGACCCGCGAGGCTTCCCAAGTCCAAATCTGGCGTCTTCAACCCGACCCTAACGGTGTAGTCTGTGCCGCCGATCGTCTTCAAACCGAACCCCAAGTTGGATCCGGTCATGTCTCTGGTGTATGGCCCAGGCCTGCTGCCATTTCGGGATGACCACTTGCTGAGCCAGCCCTTGAAGAGGGGGCGGCACACGGGGATTCCGATGCAGACGAGAGTTACAGCCAGTTCTGCCGCATGCCATATTATCAAGGCAACCGTATCCTCTGTTGGGTGTTAATGTCAAAGATAAGCTCATGCAATGATACGTGGTGTTGACCACAGAAAGTACAGGTCTGAGGTCTATAGAAGAGTGACTTACTGGTGAAGTTCACACTACTCAGATTCTTTAGCTGCAAAGCTCTCAGGATCCCGCATGCGCCAGCACTATCATGGATGTTAACTTCACGTCACTCAAGCATGCCGATGTCGAAGGTGCATGCCTTCAATAGCGCGGGCAGAACTCACATGACGCCCAAACTCATGCTCAGATTGATGAGCAACTTCTCTCTCTTCGGCATCTGAACGTTCCACAGCAGTGCCCACGGCGTAATGGCATACCAAAAGTCGACGACGACGCTCCAAGCCCCCGCAGCCGTTGATATGGGACCGGGGTCGATAGGGCAGCTTCCGTTGGGGATCAGCCGGTCCCACAGGAAGTTGATCGGCGTACAGGAGAACCAGAAGACGAGAAGAGAGGCCAAGGCGATGAGGAATAGAATGACGACCGGGGCGATGACGAGGATCTGGTGCAGCCGAGTGTTCACAAGGCGGAGGAGGAACAGTGCTAGAGAGGCTTTGGAGACGACGATGGCTGATACGAGGATTGTGCTGCCGATTGCCTCGTACAAGATCGCTTTTGGCACGTTTTCCATCTCAAGCTCTAGGATATTCCTGCCAAAGCCGTAGAAGGAGGAAATTGTGAGCATGACATCGTAGGCGACGAAGAGGAACTGAGTATGAAAGTGTCAGTCAAGATCTGCGATACAATTGTGTTTGATTGTCTGTAAACCAGGGCACTCACGAAAGCGAGGTTGAAGATGTGGTCGTCCACGCCGTAGGCTTGAAGGATGACAAGGCGAGTATACAATCGCAGCAGCACGAAGAAGAAAGCAAGACCCGTCAAGCCCCAAAGAACGGCCAGCGCCATGGGCGCATCGCCGCCTGGTCCTATCATGATCTTCGGATCCGTCTTGCGTCGATCTTGCAATCGAGACAAACGTGGAAAGACAAAAAAGACGACAAACACGGGATCCAGGCGGGATCCGGTTTGGGGCACCCGACAATTAAAGGTTCCGATTCATCTCCCTAAATCTTGTTCTCCTCCACGAGTCAATTTTAACGGGGACCAGCGATTGGTGGTAGCGAATCTGGAGAGGTCGTAAGGAGGGTCGGAGTCTTTGAGGTCCTGGCTTGAAGGATTCGGAACTTGGCAGTTGAATGGGCCTCATCTTTTCGAGTCCCGGCGAGGCCCCTGGGCGAGACGACTTGACAGGTCGATCATTGACCGAAACAAGACATCGGGAGGCTTATTGTGGATGGATTCTGCGGCGTACCCATGGCTTAGTTCAAACGAAGGGCAGAGGAGATCGTCACTATCCACAAGGGGGCCATAACAGCTAGGTCCACAGCCACGTCAAAGCACGCACGCGGTAACTGGGTTTTGTCCAACAGGAGTTCTCGTAAAGGCGCGCTAGAACCATGATTGTTCCAACGGCCATCAATGATTTCTCCACCCATCGCGATTTCGTCAACGTTTCCGCTGGCCACGCGAGGAAAGGGGAGTTAGAGACCCATCAACTTACGACTGACGCGAACGTGCAGCTAAACATAGGACCTGTCGGCATGTCATCACAGTGTACGGACAAAGAACGCTGAGACTCGGACTGTGGACCGCAACTCGTGGTCAGGTTACACCGCAAATGCTGGGCTTTCAGGGGCAGTCCAGGCATGAGGTCTGCTGGCCCCCATCATGACCCGGAGCCAGGAACAGTTGTGTCGAATGTTGCATCGTCTGAACTCGCGTAAACATAACAAGGATGACTATGAGCTACTGGTTATTAGTGCATCTTGGTCAGGCTTCCTAATTCTCCGAACACAGCATTTGCAAATGCCGATGGAAAGCATTAAGCTAGTCTAGAACGAAGCCAACCATCAAAAATAAGTAGTATCACCATTGTTCGAGACCATCTCTAGAGCAAAGTCTGAATAGACCGTAAGAGATGGTTGCCTCAAATGATGTCTTTAGTCTCCCACACACCCGGAGCTGGAAGCCCTATCCGGCTGCGCTGCTCCGAAAGCGACGTGCCTAGTCGGTGTGACCCGTAGCGGCCACTGTCAACCACTCAAGTTGTTGCCTACCAGACCGAGATGCGACTGGGAGGCGATCCGGTTTGCGACGAGGAGGTCCGAGAGCGAGTCTACGGCCCGCTGCCGTGTTTCCTCGGACCCCACAGACTGGTGAATGTTCCTGAATTTCTGCCCTTTTCCCCGGCCTTATCCATGTAGTTGTTGTCGGAGGGCATCGTTTTTTCGGATGGCAAGTACTTTATCTACAACCGACATGCTATAGGCACAAGTGCTTTATGACTTCCCAAAGGCCTTTTGTCAGTGCTGATTTGAAGGGTAGCATGATACTCGCATATCACTACGTATATCACAGCAATTGCCGAAGGGTGCATTGCAATCTCCGCAGCGAAGATATGGTGTACCGCATTTTAACCCCAGCCTACCCAATCCTTCAACAGCATTCGCTAATTGCATGGACGGAGTCAGGATGCTCATCCAAGACAACACCCATGCATCCTGTCGCAGTCACCTGTCTCTCATAACAATGCTACTCCTGCCGAGTACGCACGTGGCACATCTCCTTCTTTCTATTATCAATGTGGTCGCTACGAATGGACTTCTGTGGTTTACTGATCGGGAGGCAAGACTATATGCGCTGGGCCGTTGTATTGATACGCGTGAATGCATTGCCTGAGGCATACGGCGAGCCATATTCTGAGGATCAAGCCTTTTCATATTTCCAACCCCGAGCTACTAATATCCACCTGTCGCTAAGACTGTCCTGAGATTGACGATCACAATGACGGTACTTTCATCGTCATGAAGGTGCAATCTTTTCTAGATCATTTGCCGGGTCTTGTTATGACTCTAGAAAGTTGCGCGTCGTTCCACTAGACTTGCTGAAACTCGATGTTGACCTTATTTACCCCCTTTGAGGTGTCGACAATTTCTGCCCATGCCGTGGTTGAAAGATGCATGGTAGCATCAGCTGACTTTTTGCCGACGGGGTTGTTGGAAAAGTCGACTACTTTGACCTGAATCGTACTCGATTTGCAGGCGCGCGGAAGCGAACTGATACACCGCACTAGATACTGCCTTCCACATGCCGCCCCATTGTCCCAAAGTCCGTCACCAACAGAAACGAATAAGTTGCTGGAAGGGAATTGATCCTGGCTGTTACCGTTACACCTGGTTGGTAAATAGGGTACGGACCAAGAACCAGCAGTGCCGACATCAGCGCTGGCAAGTGGAGCTATGATGCTGAGCAACAATAAAAATCTCATATTGCTATGGAAAGATGGTGTGAGTACCAGTGTACGAGATAGGGAGTAGGAATTCTTACCAAGAGCAAAGGGCCTATTCCACAGAACAGTTTTGATCTCGACAGTATTCTGTAGTCTGTAGTTTGGCAATGATAATAGGGTGGCGAGCCAGTATTTATGGTTGGATCTCCTCCGTGGCTGTGAAATGTCTTCCCAGGGAATTACTTTACCGTTTCCATTATTTCTCTGTTCGGAGTAGTTGCGCCGTCCAATTAATCATACCATGCAGATTACTCACACTATTACGGAGTAATCCAAGATTAAATGTTGACGCATCAATCGAGAAAAATGTTCATACCAAACATTGAAAACGAAATTGTAATTTGAATAAGTTTCTTCAAAAACTTTATTTCCTGCCGGTTAGAGAAATCGCATAAGGTGTCATGGAAAGGCGAAGTTACGGTAAACATAAACCCGAGTAAATTTAAGGCAGTGTTTACTTCTTTGGCGAAGCATGGTATTACTACCAGTTGAAAGAACCTTGTTGCGGGCAAGGTAGACAATTGTGGTCATGGGTCTTGAATCGCGTCAAAACTTTGATAACATGCCAAATTTGTTGCCGAGTCGCGACATAGAGACACCGTAATAATTGCAACGAGCTAAAGCCCGAAGTTCGTAGATGAGAATGGAGCCGTGGATAGACATCATGTTGTTCAAAACACACTCCGGATTCGTGAAGCCAAATATATAGGTTTATCAATTTTCCTTACTTGTGTCACGAAGTATTGTTATGTAGCCAACGAGATCGTTGCGAAGCTCATGACATGAAGCTAAACGACAGATAGCCCTCTCAAACTACTTTAGGTCTTTAATAGCTCAGTAATAGGTTCTGCTAATTGCACCTTGAAATTCGTGGGCCCGGTTCTCAGTAGCTTAGTAGCCCAAGTGATTAGACTCAAGCCAACCTGAACCCCCTGAACAAGATTGTTGCGCCAGCTATCACAATGAATCCAACAAGCAACTTTAAAAACATCAAAACTGCGCTTGTGCATCGGCATGAGAGCTGACTCAGGCACCTGAACCGTGGCTTGGAGGGAACACGCCCAGAAAATGCCAGGCCACTCTCCAGCATTGCCATTTTCCTCCCCATACCAAGTTGATACTCTTCATCGGCCAATCTATCAGCCTCCAGAGTCGACTGATTACTCGTATCTGGTGACCCAAATCTCTCATCAACTTGAGGGTTGCTGGAGGTGGCACTAGAGTCCAGCTCGAAGACTTCATTAGCAAAGAAATCGCGCACTCCATCTTCCCACTTGGTCTTTTGCGCATAAAAGTTGATCAGCTTGGTTGACTTGTCGATGGCGTCTCGGGCGCCGATGATGTGGTTGAAAGAGTCGAGGTCTCTCGGGCTTCGGAGCTGCTTGGACTCATCGTAACGGGCGTGGCGGCTGGATTGGCCAGAGTAGGTGTGGAAAGTGATGATAGGCCCGAGCCTAGCAAACTTGCCAGGCTTGAATCTAAAATACCCTATTGTGGTTGTAAGTAAATGTAAAATCACAAGTAATTAGGGTAAAGAATGTCGTCGTAGGGCTTGTAAGATAATACCTTCGCCGTCTTTACCGTCTAGGTCACTAGGATTGGACAGACGACGGAGTGTGTGTCCGACTGCGAAAGAATCTTGGACCATGTGAAGACAATGACCAATCGCCCGCTTGGAGATATTTGCCTTGAAGTACGACGGCGTGCTACCAAGGAACATCTGCCTCAAATTCGCGTCTCCAGATGGATTAGAGCTGCTGGAGAAGCGATTTGGAAACCGATCTCCAAGACCATCGGTCTCTGTCACTCCCTGAACCCCAATTGAGAGCTTATAGATAGTCTCTAACCAAGAAAGCATGCTTTTCTTGGTATCTTGAGGATCTTCGTTAGCCTGAGGGGCCATTGCGTGGAGAAACTGCAAGTCTCCAAAGTGGCTTCTCTGTGTGAGGCTGCTTGGGGAGCCAGCCAAAAAGTCGGCGAGAAACTCTGCCCCCAGCGCCAGCTCACTGTTGCTCTCTCTAGAATCTTTAAACAGCAGGCAAAGCGGGTCGTCGCTCCACAGGAGACCGCGCATGTACTCCCACTGAGCAGCGTCGAGATTATTGTACTCAGTTCCCTTCGGAAATCGCATCTTGGATTTGATGAAGGCGGCAATGGCCATGTCTTCATGGACTGGGTCTCGGATCTTGAGGCCCCCCGGACCATGGAAGCCGATTTCATAGGCTATACGAGCGGTACCCTTGGCTCGAGGGATGGCTTCTGTCGCCAATTCTTCGACGGAGGAATCCATGATATCGACGGCATTGCTGGCTGAAGCTCCGGCCAAGTAGACGTTGACATGGCCTGGAAAAAATATTAACAATGCTTTGGAAGATGCGGATGCATGAAAGACAATGCTTTACCTGTCAAGGGATGACCATTGCGGGAGTAGGGCAAAATTTGGCAGGAAACTAACTCAGGTTTGCTCGAGTATGCTAAAATGTAATTGTCATTCCATCTCGCGTAAGGATCGCAGAACTCGACCCTGAATGAGAGGGGAGTGTCAGGGTTTGAAGGATGGTACAGCTCGTACTCAACCCATCCTTGGCTGCCTGACAAGACTTTATGTATATTCGTCAGCTCGCAATAGTCACTCGTTACAGTAATTATAACCTCATACTGTCAGTATCATTCAGTTGAGCCAAGCCTATGGTGCCTGCCTTGATCTGGTTTGGGGGACTTTCTTTGGCCCAAGAACCGACCTCAGCCTTGGATTTATTAAGTGAGAAATCGACTGCGGTTTTGTTGTAAATATATATGAAGGACTCATAGCCGCTCTTCGGGGTAAAAACAGGCTCTTGCTTGTCGGCCATCGTAGATCTCACAGTTCACCTTTCAGTAGATGTGAATTGATAGATGGGAGACTTGGAGAGGTTATGGCCGGGCTCGCACATAAATTTATACAATTTCTGTAAAGGTCAGGATAGTGTGTAACCAAGCAGACATTCCCTTTCATCTTAGGAAGTAGCTGATGTCAATGTGTCTTGAGATCGTGGCGCAACTCAGTCACGACTAGAATACCATCTAAAGCCCCAGAGCTGAAAACAGATGATGGCACCCAACTCGCGAGTTTGAGCTAGCATTCAGCTGCGACAATTAGGTTCGAGTGGTGAAGCAGTGAACATCCCATTGGTGTGGGATACGGCCAGCTCAAGACACGCCGAGAATCTAGTTCTATCTGAATGGTCGAGGGCTTGAGGCACATCTTGTCCGTCTTCGGAACAGCTGAAGCAACTTCATTGTGATAGGTCAGTATCAGCTCGTGGGGATGTCTACATTCCACCAATGCATCCAGGGATGAGAGGGTCTCTGACGATCATCCAACTGAGATGATAATAGAATTCAGTAAATGATTCAAGTATGGTCTAGACTCCAACGATCAACGCCGCAGCCCGCCCCAGTAATTATGGGACTGGTGCAAGGTGGAGGTTGTTTTCAGCCTCAATGGCACTGACAGACTCATAGGTATCCTTTTAGGGCATGATTGAGCATTTCTTGTTGCTAATTCAATGCAGGACCGATTTTTGAGACTGTTTAATTGTCATCTATAGGTAAAGGCTTACGAGAAGATCATTTGTGGCGCTCCTTTCCAGCAGGAATTGGGGCTGATGGACGTGTTTGAGGAGGCAAGGGGGTGCAAGCGGCGGGCTGAAAAAGATGAGAGTCCCTTGTCTCAGAAGACTATCCGAGGATCAATTCGTTCCTATGGCGGCATTGCACAATACCTAAAATCTGGGAAGGAACAGAGTCTTCACACACAGAATTGCCCAATGGCGTTTCTCGAACCGATTTCACATGTCTCAATGTGATCAAGCATAGGGCTCTAGCTCTTTCTCCGTCCATTTCCACAAGCTCTCTGCGAGCTCTTCATTCAGTGCGTTCTTAGAGTCTTTGCCTTTCATACCCACAGGCCAGTAGAATACACCGGTCTCGGCATCCGGGCTGACCGAGGCCCACAGCTGGTTCAGCGCACCCTTCGACACGGGCGTCGACACAAGCCAGGTGACGATGCCTGCGATTGGCTTCACGAGAGGGTAGCTGGCGATTGGGCCGCTGACGAGATTCGTATTGACAGCACCTGGGTGGATTGAGATGCAGCGGATCTCAGGGTACCGCTTAGCAAGGGCCTTGGAGTGATGAATGTTTGCCACCTTGGACGCGCCGTAACGCGCCCAGGTGCCCGTGGAGGCCATGTCGGTCTTGAAGTCGTCAAAGTTGTAGAGGTTGCTCGGAACCCAGTTCTCGGCCGCCGAGGAGAGGGAGATGATGCGCACGTCCTTATCGGGGCCGACCTTGGCGGTGTGCTGCAGCGTCGGCAGGAGGAGCTTGGTGAGAAGAGCATGTCCCATATGGTTCGTGCCGAACTGGATCTCATAGCCCTCCTTTGTTACACCGGGCGGCCAGGCCATGATGCCGGCATTGTTCATGAGGATGTGAAGGAGCTGCGACTTCGACTGGAATTCCTTAGCAGCACGCTTGACGCTCTCAAATGACGTCAGGTCGATCTCCAGGAACGAGATGGGGGCCGCGTCTGGCACTGTCTTCTTGATGTCCTCAATTGCGGCCAAAGCTTTGGACTCATTTCTAGCTCCGAGATAGATGTGGGCTGGCTTGTGCTTGCTGAGCTGGGTGATTGTTTCCCTGCCGAGGCCGATATTGCCTCCAGTAACGAGGATGATCTTGCCTGTGAGGTCAGGAATATCCTTAGCGGCGAAGCGCACCATTATGGTGATGTTTCGATAGGTGAAGTTCAGTGATGGAGATCTAGCAGTGTGAAGATGGAGAGAACCACCAAATGCCAAGCTGTTGAGGTTGCTTAGATAGTGAAATAGTTCACCCGACGCCGCCGTTCAGGAGGGAGCAAGGGCGAAGACGTAATTTAAGCCTAGACTCAAGCGGGGTTGGCTGAAACTTAGTTTCTGAAAGCCGGCGGAGCCCGAATACCGTAGGCGGATTTGCGGAGAATGTGGGCCCCGATCCGGCACATTGGCACCTTTGCGGCACAGTCGCCGGCCGGAGTAAGCCGGCCTCACACCGATCGGGCTCCGGTTTTGCTTACCCGGGTAGATGGGTATATGATCACATGATGATTACGAACAGAATTGACTAGATTTCATTCTTTAGTTCAACATATTGCTAGTGACAGCAACCTTCCGGTCACCAAATGGTCCTCTTGTAACCCATACTCCCGCCGCAGAGATACACATGCCTTACTCCTGAAGAGCGTCTATGGCTGGTGCATTAGGTCACACTTGAAGACTGCAAAGCCACTGATTATCCAAAAAATCTTGGATTTGATAATTCTGCATTTTGTTAGACTACAGATCCCAATTGTCTACTTTCTATTCGCGAAGTCTCTATCGATAGGCTGTAATATCACCCTGCGGTAGCTCGTCAAAGCAGGCGAGCCGCTGTCCGTGACTTCCAGTATCAAGTGCAGCGGCAGGCCTCGCTCCAGGGGAATCTTTTCTCTGACCACAATGCAAGACTTCTCTGCCGGCGCAATTTTAACCTCCACCTTACTTCCCCCATCGTTGAGAGCCTTGATCTCAATGTTAGACACCTCCAGTCCGTGATACGTCTGTAGTGAGCTTGGCTCGCGGTACTGATACCACTTAAAGCTGAGTTGGTCACCATCAGGGTCGTAACTCTCCGACGCATCGAAAGTAACCACGCCTCCAGCATCGGCTTCGATATGAATGGGCGTCAGGTCGGAATCGCCATTGACAACCGCGACGGGATGATGGTTGACCTTACTGAAATCGGACGTCAAAGTCCACTGCATACGTGCGGCAAAGTCGTCCTGGAAAGCATTTCTCCACCTCCAGATGGTCGCCTGATTGGACCTGTGCGGCTTGCCATCTACACCTGTCACAGTGTCGATTGCGTCTGCAAAATGACCCCTAGAAGAAAGCCCCTTTGAGCTCACGTTCACCGGGATATAGCGGCCACCCCAAGATCCATACAGAGGCTCTTCTGGAACGCCCAAACCATTTTGAATGAGATAAAGGAACGTGGGCGTGTCCCCCTCGATGATAAACTCAAAATCTGGGTACGCGGCGCCCAAAGGACCAATCTGAACGTTTTGTTTGACCCATTCGTGAGTCACCTTCGAGTCGTCGGGACCGCCCACATCGCCAGAGCAAGGAGCCGAAATACCAGTCCAAGCGGCAGCTTGGTATTGGTTCCAGCCGTGAACGGAGCAAATGTAGAAGATTTCGGGATACTGTTGGCGGATCCAGCCTCCGCAATCATCTTGATCAGAAATCGTGTAGACACGCAGCTTCTGTCGCAGTTTAGCTGCATCCGGCCGGTCACGGATCTTGTTGAGGACTTGGGCAAGCACATTGACGCCGCCCCAGACGAGAACCCAGAGAGGGTCTTCTACGGGAGCCGTCAATCGCTCGAGAAGAAGTTCACCTCCTTCACTAAGCGGTATATCGTCACCGACTGCTTCCATACCATAAACCTGAGGAATCGCTCTGTCAGAAAACCATATGCCGATTTCGGAGGCGAATATTACTTACTGGAGGACCAGACTTGATCAGGTCTCTCACGCTCTGCGCCGACGGGTACAGGGAGTCTGTAGGGGCATGGGCGTTGAGGTTATCAACTACTTTCTCGTATGCATTGACAATCTCATGGAGATTTTGCGGCGCGACCTTGTTCTTGAGCCATGTTGAAGTGACGGCAACTACCCCTTCTGTGCGAAATTGATTGGAATATGTGAGATATCTGCAGAAGGATTCTGCATCATCAGGTTCGTTGGTAATATCGGTCAGAATGAAGACACGCGGTTTTGACGCAAATGCCTTGAGGGCTGCTGCACCTCGAGTCGTTGATGATGCCATGAAGGATAGATAAAGGCGCTCGGTTGTAGTCGGACTTGGGCCAGAGGTAATACTTGATGTTGAACTCGGAACTCGGCTTCCGACCTGGTCAGACGATCGCAGCCTGATGTTTGGATGTTGCCGTCTCTTAAGGTCGTTCTCAATAGGTTGCGAACGGAGAAGATTACCGAAGCCAGCTAAGGTATTATTGACCCAAACTCTAAAGCCCGATGCCAGCTGGAAAACGCACTCTATTCAACCGCTCGACTTCCTCTAAATAGGTAGCTCGAGGCTCGCGTGAGATATTTGCCGAGGGGAAGGGCCAAGGATTCGTGTGAAGAATTACGGGGAAGCTAACTGACACCTGATTCAAACCAGTTTGAACCATCCGGAATAGGCAATGCGAACCACCGGCGAACCCCTCACGGGTGACGACCTAGCACCAAAGAGGAACCCAGAGCCTTAAAACCCCAAGTCAAGCAATGTGGTTTTCTTGGATGAACCTTACCTAGTACCACCTCCGCATAAATCGATCCCCACGGGGACATTGTCATGGTAAATGTCGGTCGAACGGTTTTCAGGAACCGCGCCGTTGGGCCCCTTCTCCACAAGCGCCCCCAAACCCCAGGAAAACTATGTTCGTCATGATCCTGGGGTAGAGTCTCTTCGTACTATTGCTTGATGATTTTCAATCATGTATTAAAAGTCCCCAACAACCCTCATCTCTGTTTACAGTAACCTACACCGGCACCGGCCTCTGAGCAAGGTTGAATCAACACACTCTTTTCGCTCTTTGACTCACCATCTGTGAGACAATAATCCTGTGTCATGGCGAATTACGACGACGGCTATGCAGCCGAAAAGGTTGACTCCCAACATGACGCCAAACACCTCGAAGTCAGTGTCGACTCTCAGCTGGCACTTGCTGCCGACTTTGAAGACCATGAGATGGGCATCTGGAAGTCGTTTGTCCGTTACCCATGGGCATGTGCTTGGTGTGTTTACGCCTGTTGGACTATCATCCTACTCAGCTTCGACGTTCAGGCCGCAGGTGCGGTCGTGGGGATCCCCGAATTTCGCAAGGACTTTGGTTACGAGTTCAACGGAGACTATGTCCTTCCAGCTATCTGGCAGTCTGCCTTTAGCGGCGCACCTATTGCCACGTACGTATGAAACTTTACGGTTATGATGTTATGCAAGTTGTACTAACTTCATTCTCCAGTGCCGTGATTTCTTCGATCGCCTCCGCCGAGCTCGCCGACTACATTGGCCGAAAAAAAGTCCTGGCCCTGGCTCTCATCATCTCCTTTGTTGCTGTTGCTATTGAGTTCATCGCAACGACAAATCCAGTCTTCTTTGCCGGAAAGCTTCTAAATGGTTTCATGGTTGGTGCTGTTGGCACTATTATGGTAAGCTACATTGGAGAAATTACACCGCTGGCTCTCCGCGGTATCTTCACTTGCGGAGTCGGTGTTGCCTACGGAATTGGACCTCTCGTTGCTTTCATTGTTATCAACTACACTGGCACCGTCGAGTCTCGCTGGGCCTACCGTACCGTTTTCTGCTGCCAATTCGGCTTTGCTGGAGTTTCAGCAATTCTTTGGCCGTTCATGCCTGAGTACGTTCCTAATCCTTTGCGCAGACCATACATCTCTGAATTGACTAACCTACCTTAGGTCTCCGTGGTGGCTAGTATCCAAGGGGAAGAAGGAAGAAGCCCTTAAGAGTCTTGGAAGACTTGGACACTCTGGTAATGAGGGCAGAGCGAAACTCGCTCTTATTGAGCGTACATTGGATGAAGTGAAAGCCGAAACAGACGGTGTCACCTACCTGGAGTGCTTCAAGAAGTCAAACTTGAGGAGAACCATCATCAGCATCATGCCTCTATGCATTCAGAGCTTCAGCGGAATCGCCTTTGTTGCCAGCTATTTCACTTGTCAGTATCCCGCCTTCTCACAACTCTACATTCCTCATTAAAGCAACGATACTAACAATTCGCTCTTTAGACTATCTTCAGCTCGCCGGCTATTCTACTTCGATGAGCTACCAGCTTCAGATTGCTCAGCCCGTTCTGTCAATTGTTGGCAACTTGATGGCCGCCGCTGTGATTGACAAAGTCGGCCGAAGAAATCTTACGTTCTACGGTTTGGCCATTCTCACAGTCTTCCTCTTGATTACAGGCGGATTGGGAACGGGCACCAGCCAGCCCATGATCAAAGGAACCGTCGCGTTCATTCTCATCTACAGCTGGTGGTACAACGTCTCCATCGGATCAACCGCCTTTTCTCTGCTTGCCGAAGTGTCGACTTCTCGTCTGAGAGCTAAGACCGTCGCCATCGGATATGCATCGCAAAACTCCATCAACGTTATGTGGCAATTCGTTATCCCGTACATGTTCAACCCGGACAAGGCCAACCTCGGCGCTAAGATTGCCTTCATCTTCGGTGGCTTGTGTCTCTTTTCCCTGGCATATCTTTGGCTCTTCCAGCCTGAGACTGGCGGTCGCTCCTACGAAGAGCTTGACGAAATGTTCGCAAAGGGCGTCCCAGCGAGGAAGTTCAAGTCGTACAAGACGACTGTGCAGTTGCGAAATGAGACATCTGCACAAGATGGAAGTCATTGAGGTGGCTCACGAAAAGTGATACCTTACAGTCAGCCAGAGCTATATATCATTTGGATACCTGGAATAATATCTTTGCAGGATTATTAGTAAAAAAACTAGCGATTAATTCAAGTAATTGGTTTCAACTCCTCATGGTCAATGCTGGCAAGCTGATGGATTGTGGGACAATTTGTTCTTGCGAATTCAACCGTCGAAGCCTTTGCACAAGCTCAAGTTCCGTTCCTTGGGGTTAATGTAACAGTGTTTCCTTCTGCGCATTTCTGAGACTTTCCTGAAGCCAGTAAGGCCAAGCGCGTATCGCCGTCGCTCTAGCGTACTCCCCTGGCAAGTAAACATGGCCGCTACGGCCAGACACAATCTGCTTGAAGATGGCATCTACAACTGGTTCCGGCTCAAGTATCTTTGATTTGAAGGGGCCCGAGCTGTGCACCTTTTCGATCAAGGCTGTCTTTATGTAGGTCGGATGAATGATACTATTGACGTGCTCAAATTAGTCTTTTGCAGCTTGCTAGCTTGTCATTTTGTGATTGCTCACCTTGTGCGCACTCTCGGTGCCCTATACCGATGTCTGATCTCCTGAGCCAATCCTTCATGAAGTCCCAGAGCGCCCATCTTGGAACATGAGTAGTCCACGTTGTGTACGCCCGTCACAAAGCTCGCCATACTTGCGACTGTGACGACATGGCCATGGTTGTTGTGGATCATCGAGGGTAAGAATTCTTTGATCAGGAGGAAGCTGGCAATGATGTTGACGTCAAAAACGTGACGAATTTGTTCCTCGGTCTCGTCTAGAATCGAGGCTATCTTCATGACGCCTGCATTGTTCACCAATACCGTAGGATCACCGTGATCTTGACGGATTTGGCTTGCGACCTCCTTGATCGACTTGCTTGATGTGATGTCCACTTCGTAGAAGTACGCGTTCGACGCTGACTGCAGCTTTAGCGGAAATACTCATGAGAGATAGTTCAAGAACGCAGACCAGACTTACGTAGCGGAGTTCTCGGCGGAACAATATCGAGACTTATGACTTTGATACAATTCTTGGCCAGCTTGCGCACCAGCTTGTCTCCAAGGCCTCCAGATCCACCGGTAACTACGACGAGCTCCCTTCGCCAGTCGTAGTTATCTTGAGTGAAGTTGTTAAGAGTCGCTTGACTCAGGAGACCATTGGTCTTTCGAAGGGTTGCTATACCGAGCAGCAAGGCCAGAACGAATCTCGGCCACCCACGCCGGAAGACTAACTTCAGGATGCCTGGCGTTTTGAAGTTTTGGAACAGCTCGATAAGCTTCCCAGATAACGCGGACTGGGCAGTCGAGGAAGACATTGTCACTGAAGCTGTCCAAAATCGTCAAAGGAGAGGTTTTAGGCCAGTCGCCTGATGCTATTCGCCGAACATCCTCTGCCCTATATCCTTCGGATCGACGGATGGACAGCAAAGCCGGCGGGCAATAACCGCTCTCCGTCTGATACTTCCCCGCAATTGCAACGTCCACTTAGGTTCAGGATAGCTCCCTCACCATGTAACACCTCCGCATAACAAGCCGAGGCTCAATTGAGTCCGTGCAAATGGTCGTGCGACATTTATGCATGCCTAGAAACCGAGATGCCATTCGACCCTGTGGTTCGCCGAGCAAGAAACCACGACATACCTGGATGAGTCTCGCGTTAATCAAAATCGAACGCGAGCTCGCATAAGACTCTTTTTGAGGACCTGAGACTCCTCCACTGTCACGAAGCCTCAGACGATATCAGCATGGGCTACACTATCGAAGATCGGTTCATCACGTCTAGCCGGAATGGCCAAAAGATTGCCATTTCCATATACAAGCCCGATGGAATAAAACACACTGCACCCGTCATCGTGATGGGCCACGGCATCGGCGCCATCAAGGCCGCCGGCCTCGCCCCTTTCGCAAGCCACTTCACTGCCGAGGGCTACACTGCCGTTACATTTGACTACCTAGGCTTTGGCGAGAGCGAAGGCTTCCCGCGGAACGTTCTCGATGTCGGGAACGAGCTGCAAGACTTCCGCGATGTCATCAAGTGGGTTCGGGAGCCGGATCAGAGCACGTGGGTCGACTCATCACGAATCGTTGCGTGGGGAAGCAGCTTTGGCGGCATGCACACCACCGCTCTCATGGCCGAAGATCACGAGCTGGCAGCCGGTATAGCGCAGTGTCCGCTCGTTGACGGGTTGGCTGGTGTGATGCAGATGCCGCTGCTCCGGTCTTTGAGACTGGCGACAACGGCTGCTGCTGATATCGTCGGTTCGTATATTCTAGGAACCAGGGAGCCGAAGTACGTCGACCTCATTAGCGATGGTTCCACCACGGCTGTCATGGCTTCACAAGAGGCTTATGATGGTTGGAATCGCTTATCGCCTGGTGACGGACGAGACTGGCCTAATGTGATCGCTGGGCGGTCTCTTCTCAACATCATGATAAATCGGCCGCTGTTACACATACACAAAAGCACTCGCCCATATTTAGTTGTTCTTCCCACATGGGACAATGAAGCATCCTTAGGTGCTGCGGAGGACTGCGTTAAACGTGCTCCTTTTGGAGAAGCGTTGAGGGTTGATGGTGGTCACTTTGATTTATACAAGGGGGGAATCGCGTTCGAGAAGAATATTGCTGGGCAAAAAGAGTTTCTTAGACGTGTACTGAATGCTAAGTGAGTAATTTTCTACCTTAATGTCTCTCTTAGGTTGAGCGCAGTTGAAGGAGTCGAACTTTTGATACTTCTGGCGTCAAAGGCAGTAGACAGTTGGAATCATTGATCATTATTATTCAGGGAATGATAGTTGAAAAAAAACTTGATCAGATCTTTCAATTCTACGCTATGCTGGTTCTATCAAAACAGAGGAAACATTCGCTCATCAAAGGAAATACAACAGCGTTCAAACGCTCTCTTCAAGACACGATAATGCTATCGATAATGACTGGAACAGCGTATGACCCGGCATCCCAGGTGAAACCTATGGAAAGGGTACCGCTGGCTGCAGTGGGAGTAAAGGTGAAGCTGTATTGTCTGTAACCACCCGCGTTACTGTAGGTCGTCAAGCACGGGTAGCTAGAACTGCCGCAAACCGTTGACGGGCCCATTATGGTATCGCCCCAAGCAACGTAGACCTTCGCATTGTCCTGTTTTCTAGCAGAATCAAGACGGCCTGCATAGAACGTTACGGTCCTAGTGGCTCGAATGGGCAGGCCGGTGATGGATTGATAGATGTAAGCCTGGCGGTTTGAAGTTCCGGACGGGTAGAAAACACTTTGTGATTGTATTAGCTAGGTACTTGCTTGATGATGGTATCTACTGCCGGTACAGAGAGTTTCGTGACTTACAGAGCTGAGCAACCTGAAGTCTGATGGTTGTCTGAAATGACCGCTGACGTGACAGGATCGCTGGGTTGGTAAAGCGCAAAGCTCCAGCTGTCAAAGCCGCTGTCGAAGCCGCCGTTCTGGACATAACCGCTGTCTATACATTTGTTAGATTATTTGTGGCAGACTGAATTGTTGATTGAGAAGACTCACTGATGGTTGCGCGGCACGCATTAGCCGAAGTAGTTGAAGTGGACGAGGAAGATGATGTCTTCGAAGATGACGAACTGGCGGCAGTAGTACTCGAAGAGCTCGTGGTGGTAATCGTGGAAGTCTTTGTGGACGAACTGCTCGTAGTGATCGTTATGCTCGAAGTGCTAGACGGGGTGGAGGAAGCAGTTGAAGATGACGTGGAGCTTGTCGAAGACTTTGAAGTCGTTGAAGAGCTCGAAGACGAAGTCGAGGTAGATGAAGATGTTGACGAGACAGAAGACGAGGTAGATGATGCAGTGGGGCTAGTCGTAGACTTTGAAGTTGTAGAGGAGCTCGAGGTGGTTGAGACAGATGATGAAGTAGTTCTTGTCGAGGTTGTTGAAGTGGTGGGAGAGGACGTCGAGCTAACCGGCAAAGTCAAAGAACCCGAAGCATAGATGTTGAGGCGGTTGCTTCCGCCACAGAATTCTGCCGTGTTGCCCTTGCAAGGCATATCACAACCATCCGATGCCGCCACACCGCCGTTTCTGATCTGGCTATCACACCAACATTCCTGCGAGTACTCGACGCCGGCAACGGGGTATCCAGAAGCAGTGCAAGCCGAAATACATCCGCCGACAGACATGTTCTGTGTGCCACCAACGACGTCAACATTGACCGTAAGAGCTCGGCCAAGTACATTGTCCTTCAAACATCCCTTGTCGGTCCAGCCCGAGGGCAAAACGCTGGGAGTCTTCGGCTTAGCGGATGCCTGGTAGACGTTGATACGATTTGGGCCGCCACAGTACTCAGAGCTGTTGCCGGAGCAGAGCATGTTGCATCCGTCAAAGCCCGAAGAGCCTGCATTGCGGAGCTGGTTGTCGCAATAGCACTCAGATGAGTACTCCACACCGGCAAGTGAGTAGCCGGCAGCCTGGCAAGCATTGGTGCACTGCAACACGGACATCTTCGAGTCTCCGGCTACGACGCCAGTCCGGTAGGAAAGAAGTCTTGGGCCGGGGTCGTTCTGGCAGCCGAGGGATGACCAACCAAGAGGACCGGGGTTGATCACGGGGACAGCGACGCCGTTTGTGAAAACCGAAAGTCTGTCGCTGCCGCCGCAGGCTTCTGAGCTGTCGCCGCTGCATGGCATGTTGCAGTCTGCTTCGGGCTCCTTCTGCGAAGTTGAAGCCAGTTGGTAGTCGCAGTAACACTGGAAAGGATGGGTGAGTATGTATGCGATGGAGGAGGACAAGGTGGTGTTGCTTACCTCGCTAGAATATTCGACTCCCGCAACGGAGTAGCCCTTGCTGCTGCAAAATGCTACACATGACTCTTCGGTCATGGCGCTGTAATCTCTGTATCCATCCCGTGACAATTGTCGGATGCCATTATTGTTGTCGGTATAACAGCCAGAGTACGACCATCCAGTCTGTAGGGTTGAGGAAGCTCTGACATCTCGCTTTGCGATGGAAGCTGCATTGGTGCAAGCAGTCAGCGCCAGGAACAAGCCTGAGATAGAGATTTGAAGCTGCATAGTTATGGGTAGAAGAAGAGACAGAAGGATGATGAGCTGGTTGATTCGATATAATTGACATGAACAGTAGGCTGGTTTATAATGACGACGGTGTCATTACCGTCAAGCCCGACTGGGAGTCTGCAGTTGCAGAAGTCCTTTGTGTAACGTACGAGGAATTCCACTGCCAAGGAAGCCATGAACTCAGCTCTCATGGCCATCATGCATATCTAGCGCCGCGAAGAACAATAGTCTTGTTGTCAGAAGCGAAGTTGGGTTGAAAGACTTCCGGGTGAACGTTCCAATTTGGATTCTAGAGGCTGGAGTAACCGTCTGGCTTCGTTCCTGACCTAACAGAAAAGCTAGCTTTTCCCGGCACCTACACAAAGACGTAAATCTTTGCTTCTCGCCGCCACAATCCCTCATCAAACAGGAACGACGGCAAAACTCTGAATGCCATGTTGTAAACCCACGTGTCTGAAGCTTTTTGCCAAGATCTGAAAAGGTACTAAGGATGTAGCCGGCAGCTTTCTCTTTGACCTCAATGGGAACTTGACAACTTGACGGAGCCCATGAGGCAGTGAGAGCTGTGCTTAGCGTCCGGCGATAATTGGAACTAGTATGAAAGCGGCCAAAAACGCCCAGTAACCTCCCACTGAGAAAATTCCGCGTCTTGTTCTAGGGAGCCGGGGGATTAGTTTCGAAACGCACGCTAGCTGGTGATCTTTGTCAGGTTACACAAAGATATCGATCCACAAACGATGTCGCTCAACGATGTCTCAATACTCTGGGGACCTCCCGCCCCGGTTCCTATCTGAGCGTGTGGGTGGCTTCGCCAAATAAAGATGCCCGCTGAATACCTCATGTAGGTAGTTGGGATGAACTATAATTCATTCATGGGACGTCAAATCACGCTGAAGCTTTTTAGACTCTACTAAAGTAGTCAACTTGTCAAATGTCAACCTGGCGAAGCTTGAGCTAATTAGACTCCCTTCAGTCTCTGGGCGCGGTCGTATTATGCTGAAGCTGATGCTTTCACAAGCAGGAGCAGGTAGACACCTTCAACGCGAAAAACATCTAAAGAGAAAAGAGAACGCAGGTCATAGTATCTTGTGGTCACACATAAATTTAGACTCTCGCCAAACAACTTAAGCATGTTAGATCAAACGCAAAATTGACTTTGATCTTAATTAAAGATGGCCCGTGGCCGCCTCAATCTACACTGACAACAATGAAACATCGAGAGCGCTCAACACCTCTGATGTCTCGTAGTGAAATATACAGTACAGTGACCCCTTCTATTCGAGGTAGTATGTAGGCCATTGAGCCATGGCCGTGTCTCTGGAACAGGATCAATATCAGCATGGGTACCACTCAAGAAAATAAGAGTTCACTACCCACCTATGTGTAATCGTCTATGTGCAGATCATTCCGACGCCGCCGACGGGTGCCCGAGTGGTCTGACAAGTTGTGCCACTGCAGCATGCACGGTCGCCAACATCGCCGCAGTTGGCTATAGAATGCTAGTTAGCTTTGGCTCCCTGGTGCTCAGAAACACGTTAATGTGAGTGGTGACTTGCCGCCCTTGGAAGCGCAGTTATCCTGCCTCGCAGTAAGGCCGATGTCGACGGATGCGGCAGAAACTGCGGCGACGATGGTAAGGAGAGTAGCGAGAGTGAACTTCATTTTGAATATCTAATGACTTGAGCTTGTGATTTGAGGTGTCGAGAAAGATAGAGAGAGAAAGAGAGAGATAGCGAGTGATTTTGAGGTAGTTACTTTGCATGAGGGCATTTCAATGGAATTATATACACATCATTTTCATCCGCTTCCACATGTTCGTAGGCTGGGCACTGATTAGGGGTATCTGTTCTGATGTTTGAGAGTCATTGTCCTGTTTTCTTGGCCCATGACTCTTCGTTTGGGGATTTACGGTATCTCCACCACATGCCGGTGGACTCAATGACTTCTCAATTGTACACTACTCAGAAGCCGGATCTCGGCCAGCCAGCCAGGTGTCAGGCAAACGCACGATGCTCGCGACAAACTCAATTATGTGGAGCGTGTGGGCTGTAAAGTCGCTGTTGGCAGGTTGAAACCCTGCGAGTTTTGTGAAGTTGCCGCGTTCCCATTGTCTCATGTTTAGTTGCCGTATATTGTAGTTGCGTCCATCCTAGTTCACTACTTCCTCTTCACTAATCAACATAGAATATCGGATGTAGAGTGCCACTGTCAGTGATCGGCGAACGTCCCTGCTCCCACATTCTTCGTAGTTTTCGGTCACTGCACTTGGTGCGACTACGCGTATGCCAGTCACAGACCTGACTCGAAGTTAGGGAGCCGAAGAATTATGAGACGATCTAGGGATGAACTGTGGATATCTGTTGCAACAGTCAGTCGCTAATAGTATCCCATTGCAGTCCTGATTACCTTTCGACTAATTCACTCTGGATTTCAGGGAGAATAGTTGTGAAAGATAGGTTGAGCGGACTTTTACCCGCGTACAACTAAGTGACGATCCTTCGTCTCATCTTTGTCTCAACCCCAGATCTGGGGAAGATTCTCCCGGTGCTTCGAGAACACGTCACGAGCTATATGATGCGTTTCGATAATCTTCAAGGTACCGTCAGACAAGATCCTATGGATCGCGTGGGTGTTTCAGGAAGATCTTTGAACCTCTGATCGACTTTGACTTGCTGGTTTGAACGGTAATCAATGATCAGCAGTGTTTCAACCCAATGAGCTGGAATTGGTATGCGAATGCCAAGGCCTCAATCCTGGTCAAGGTCATACGAAGCTCGGTGTTCCCGTCTTCTAGAACGAGTGATGAGCTAGACGGCCGGTTACACAAGCAACGTCGGTGCAAAGATACACTGATTCGCATGATGTGGTATACAATAGGTTGCTTGCTCTTATCCTTTTTTGGTGAGTGAAATCTTTTCTAAGCCGTCATTCAGGCTTCTACAGCTCCCTATTCTTGGGTTACCATTCGACACTGCTTTTGAACAAATCTCTTAGGTCATGTGTCTCGAAGGACTCCCAATTATCCGTTGCTACGATGACATATGGTCTCAGTTGAAATGAATCCAGTCTCCACGAGAATAGGGAAATTGCTGGATTACACGATAGCCCAATCACCTTTGTCATGCGGCAGACTTGAGTTCTGCCTGTCCCAAAGAAGAGATGGCAGCTGGCTTACTAGTGTGAGGTGCGTCCATGACTCCGAGTCTTCTCGGCATTAATTAGGTCTTAGATATGACCGAGGGTGTTGTTTCCGGAACGTAGCTGAAGTTCAGTTCAACGGGAATGAACAGCTCGAATAGCAGGTTCTAGGACATTAATCTGACCATGTGATATCATCAGTCGCGGGAACGACAGTGTTTACCTGGATATCAATATCTTCCTGTTTGCCTAGGTATCAATATCTCAAATCTACAGGCTATTTGAAAACCCCCAAAAGAATGATGGGAAAGGAAGGAGACGGAACACTCACGTGAGAACTCACGCTCCTGCCCAAATTCGAACAGCGTGCCCCTCAGTCAACTCGAACTCTGACTTCATTGGAGTATTTGTTTATTTGACCACTCGATCACCTCGCACATAGCTTGACCTGACCTCGACGACCTAGACGGGCGCTGCTGTGCTGGTGACAGGAATGGGATCAGAGGGGTGTAAATAGGTACCGTAGGAGTGCCTAAGTACCAGGTGGAGGGAAGATCAGGAGTCCGCTGACTTGGGTTCAACTTTCAGGGGGAAGGAGGGACGCCAAGGTAGGAAGGAGCGATGAAGCTAAGGCGCTTGCCTACCTTACTGCCAATGATTCATATTAAGGTACTTAGTACTGTATCTGTCTTTAGAGATATCTTCTCCATGTCTACGTACGGTCTATTCGCTTCAAAACCACTCTTCAACATCCCGCCTCATCAAAACCTCACCCCCAGCAAGCGTTCCCCCAGCCAAAGGCACCTTCAAAATGCCAGCTCCCACCAGATCCTGTGCCAACCGCACAATCAACCCATCACACCCCCTCGCCGCCATGACATCCACAGTAACAGGCAACATCTCCGTCACGTTCGTCACGGAACTCACGCTACCGACCTCTCCCAGGGGGAAGACATGGTCCGGCGCTCCGCTGAAGACGCTCAGCCGACCGTTGGAAAAGCCAAGCGGCGGGGTGGGCGTCGTGGTCGTCGGATAGCGGTTTCGTAGGGAGGCGCGGCCGGAGGAACCTACGTAGATGAGGAGGGACGAGGAGCATGTCGACGTCGATGTGGAGGTGTTGAGGGCGGGGGTAGAGGGAGGCAGGATCTCGGTGTTGAACCAGTTCATGAAGAGCGTCTTGTTGGCTCTTGCGTCGTCAAGGGCGCTGGCGGGTTGTTTATCACCCCAACCCCAGCGTGCGAGGGGGACGGGGTTGACGAAGGGGAGGCGGCCATTGTGCGCGGCTATCAAATTCGATGTTAGTTCGTGTGTGAGTGTTTCCCAGCTGACAAGTGGCAGAGCAACAGGGCCTTTTTCTTTTCGAAGACGAGAAAAGCAAAGGTACGAGGGAAAAAAAAACACAGAGATAAGCTTACCGGCATAATCAGCATAAAACGGATCACGCACAAGCGGCGTCTGCTCCTTGGTGATGAGCGTGGCATACGTCAACCCCAGGACATCATCCAGCGTCTGATTCCGCACACCCACAGGACCAGTCTCAGCCCAAGCAGACGTCAAATTCAGCGCCGTCGCCTTGGCGCCCAAGAACGCACCCAGGTCCTCCGCAAACTTGTTCAGCATCTGCGCGGCGGCTCCATCGTCGGTGGGGAAGTCAACCGTATACACCGTCTTGGGGTACGTTACCCCCGCCGCGGTCTCAACCAGCGATGTATAGTTCGCCCCGTACAGCACCTTATTGGCCTCATCCCAAATGTACGGATCCCGCGTCAAGAAGCCGGCGGTGTCGAGGGTAGGTGACAGCGGCATCACACCATCCAACCCGACGAGCCCATGTGAGGGCCGGTTCCCGAACAGACCCTGCACCGCAGACGGTCCGCGGATCGAGCCGCCCGTGTCGCTGCCGACAGCAATATCCAGCCACTCATATGAACCTATCGAGGCTCCGGCGCCCGAGGACGAGGAAGATGGGTCATTGTAGCCGTCGCCGCGCGGGTTGAAGGGGGAGTGGTAATCCACCCAATCCGCCGTCGCCGTCTCGCCGTTGGCAAACTGCGAGGGTTTCTGGTATCCCACCACCACGGCGCCCGCGTCGAGCAAAGCTTGGATTGAGGGTGCGGTGGAGGTCGCGGGCGGGTAGAATGCGTACCAGGCTCTGTTGCCGTTGGACTTTTTCACGCCCGCGAGGTCGTAAATGTCTTTTACGCCTACGCGGACGCCGGCGAGGGGCTTCTCGGGGGACCGGGCGGAGAAGGAGTAGAGGCGGGAGGGGACGCCGATTGTGAGGGATGCGGAGGCGGGCACCTGGGCGGAGAGGGTCTGGAAGGTGGTATCGGGCTTCTGGAGGAGGGACTCGGAGAAGGCGCCTGCGTAGTCTGGGTACAGACGGTAGGCTTGGTGGAGGGCGCCAGTGATTGTGTCGAGGAAGTATGGGCCCGAGGGGATATTACTGCCGGCGGTGCCGATCAAAGGCGCGACGATGGACTGGGTCTTATTTGTGCCGTCATAGCTTTCTTTTGTGAGGCACGGCGTGTCGAGGCCGGCGACAAAGATTGCGCCGAGGAAGGCGGGTTGCCAGACGTCGTCTTGGGAGGTCCAGTTCGCGAAGAGGGAGGGGAGGGAGGATTTGGGGAGGGGTTCGGCGACGACTGTGACGGGGGTGAAGCCAAAGGCGCGGGGGAGGGATTTGATGTTGAAGGAGGAGGAGTTTGAGGGGTTTCCCTGGGAGAAGGGAGAGACGAAGTAGTAGACGTCGTTGAGGAGTAGGGATGCGCCGGTGGAGGTGAGGTCGGCGGCGGCGGCGCCGACGAGGGCGAAGAGTGTGAATGCCTTCATCGCGGGAAGTGACAGGTCTCAGTCCTTGCGCCGAGTACCTGGCGTGGGCAGCAAGACTGCTGGACACCTTGGATGCGACATCTCTCTTATATGAGGAATGCGTATATCCGGACTTGGGTTAGAACATCCAATCAAGATGACCAATTCCTGGTATCTGAACGATAGGTAAGGTACGGTAGGTGGAGAGATGGGATTTCCTTTTCCCTGCCCGGGTTTATCTCTGCAGTTTACCTATTGGTGTCTTTTCCCATATCGTAACTGGCTTAGCTAGGTCCAAATTGTTCAGGATCAGGACCATGGCAAGAAAGCAATAATAGCTGTCATCTTACCAGGCTTATCTGATTCGGTCGTCCAGGCCTCGGGGGTTGCGGTTGCTTATCATGGGGAGGACTCCACGAAAGGGACCATGCATGCGAGTCCGCATCGCTAGCTTGCAGAGTCTGAGAGCCGGAACCGGTTTAACGGGCTGGGGTATCTTGTCCTTGTCATCATCGCTTTAGTCCCCCCCGCCGAGATGGGGTTCAGAGCAAATCGGCATACAAAGTAGAATTAGCAAAGTCCATTTGATTATCGAGTCGTTATCCGTTATCGCGGGAATGAGTGTTTCAGGCTCGTATTGACGTTCATCAAAGTCCCGGCCGATGTCGGTAGTTGGATTTCGGTTCCCCGGTGGCCGGGAGTTGTCACCGGTG